GATGGAGAAAAGTGACTGCAAAAATATAAGTAAATTGCATAGGATAGAAATATATATCTCTCTCATGATACACACTTTCTACCACGACTTCCTTTTTGTACCACTAAAGGGGATCACTAGACTTTAAATTTTACTTAGGTTGGTCATGATAATATTAAATCAATAAATACGGGTTCATTTCATAAAATTTCAACTGATGCTATAGGCGCATTATGGTTGAAGATGAGTACTAACAAAAACAAGTGTAAACAACGGTAAGTTATTGTGGTAACTCAGCATTTTATCCATCCATTTTTGGTTAGTTATGCTAGTGTGGGAATTTTTTTAGTCCCATGGGAATTCCCATATTTCCCATGGGCATGTACGGTGGGCCGAAGATTCTGGGGTGCCCATGGGAAATGTCAAGGTCTAGGTGAGACTATAGTTATAGTAGAAGTAGGAATAAATTAAGAAGTGTGTTCATTCTAACTATAGATAGGAATTAGGATTCCTTATATAGCTAGTTAGGAGGCAAAACATGAAGTAGTCATGATATCTTACTTCAAATGAATTCGGAGATATCTATACAGCTGAATTAGTGGATAATGCTGAATGGAAAAGGGTACTATGGCTTCCTCCTGAGGCTCAACCGTCTTGTTCGGCGACTAGAGACAGTACACTAGTCCTGGGACACGCATCAGGGCGGATATATTTTATAGGATTCCGGATATAGTAGGCATCAGACAGTTGTGCGAATGGCAATTAGTTATCCTTCTTCCGATTTTCACAGCGTGGTTAATTTATCAAGAAGCTGTCCACGAGGTCGCTTCCGTCCAGCTGCGTTTTCCCCTCAAGGAGCCCACCTTGAGTATTAAAGTCGCCATTGAGAAGAACATCATTGTGATAGTGGTCTCATACCACTGATGTTTATACTTGACAGACGTAATCTCCCTAGCGCTGACTAAAATATAAGAGTTATCATGCCATGGCCCTGCATTGGGTACACTTTCGAGCATCGATCGTGATCACGATACTATTCCATCGTATTTTTGCTGCGGATAAAATGTCGGTATATTCATAGTCCCTAATAATTGCACATTTTATTCAATGAAGAGTAAACGGATAGTCTGCATTTCTGCATGAGCTAATCACTCCGTCACGCGGTGACCGCGTGGACGGGGAACATGTAGGGGCCCAGGACATAGAAGAGACACATATCCAGATAGAGCAATTAGTTGGTTCAATTATTTTGATAGCGTTTTGGTTGAGATAAATGCGTTTAAAATTGATAGATAGAGGTGAGTGGCGGCTCGCTTGTGGTGGCAGCTTGCTTGTGAAATACGTTAACTAACGCAATTCAGAACACATAGTAAACGTGGTAGATTACAACCTGATATCTCAATCATCACGTTTGTAGTTTATCTCATTACTTGTCGGTGGCTGATCATCCGAGACGTATTGGCGTGGCACCCGTTATTTGACTCGTAGCTGCAATCTCTATGAGCAGAGCAATTCGCAGACCCCGATCTACCTCCCTCCGATGTGGATCCTCTGTCACAGAATTCGGGAGGCTCTGTGCTGCTCATCATCGATTGAAAGATGACGAATAAGGTAGTATTAGAAGGTTTGAAGCGCCATTTTGATCTAGTTGAATTTCCTTCAGCTGAAATGGATGTATGCCTAATTCATTCCAAACTTCCTCAAGCCAACGCCGCAGTAGTCAATCCATATCCAATAGAGTCAACTGGAATTTCCTCCTCAGGAAAATGTGGGATAAGGGATAGCACTGCTTCATTGAAATCAGTGAACCATGATTGAATTGATAATGCCGCGCTTTCAAAGACAGGAGGATAAGCGCCAGAATATGCCCAGGCAATCAATCACACTTGTTCATGCGGGTCTAAGGTCAGGTTTCGAGGACTGATATCGTGGTGTGTTAGGACAAAATTGGTAAAGTATATTTCGGAGCTTGATTGACGCTCTTGCAGAGTTCAAGTTTGTGATTAGACCAGGCTTCCATTTCAGCAATGTCCTCAAAAGGCCCAGCGCTATAATGTAAAGAACCGACCCCGACAGCGCCCTTCACTAATGGGACCTGGCCGCGATGATCGTAACTGACATTGCCATTCTACTCCTTCTAATTCCATAAGTATGGAAGTCTAACTTCGAATCTCGGAAAAAAAGGCTGTGTTTATTGCCTTCAGATTGTGATTCTTGTGAGTCACTAACATTTTCAAAAGCCGAACCAATCTAACCTCGACAGTGTCGCCTTCGCCTCTACCTACCGTTTCTCTGTCCTCTTCGGCTACAGCGCAGCTGACTCCTCCTACATTCTCGCCCCAACAGTTGGCTGGGCCGCCATCGAAATTTCCACCGGCATCGTTTCGGCCTGTCTCCTAACCCTTTGCCCTGCTCTCCGTTTCGGAACACGCATGCTAGGTATCCGCGGTAGCGTTCTGGCTCTCTTCAAAGGTACAAACGGAACAACGTCCAAAAGCTCGAACGCTGTTACTCAGCCTTCAGAAACAGTGGACACCACTGCCATCATCATTCAACACACGAAGCATCCGAGACGATATTCTTTCTATCACTTGCCAGATGATTCTGACCCAGTGAGAGAACAGACACGAAGGGATGACTCGTTCAGACCGAACTTTGATCATGCGAAGACGTACGCCAATGTATTGGGTCTAAGGGTTGGTTGTCGTTCTGATGGGGGTGAGATCCCCCTGGCTGAGATTACAGTCGACAAGGAGTTTACGCAGACTACTATGCTGGAGAGATTATCCTAGTGTATCTCCCTGGACACTCCTTAGAGGCCGATGTTGCCATACTGAACGCCGCGACTGAATCACAGAGCTGAGTGGCTAGAAGTCAATGCACCGGGATTTCAATCTGCTGGCGTTGAGGCCTCTCGCAAGACAATTTTCGCATTACCCTTTTTCTTGTGACGCCGTGGTTTCGGCCTGTCTCTGTGAGAGCAAGGTAGCTGCCACTTAGATATCCGTCTTAGGAGGTTAAGTCAGAAACAGGCCCATTCGAGGCCCATTTGACGCCGCTCTTAACATCTCTCATTCTACCGCGCGCGTTGCGCGTCATGGCTACCAAAGGCCGCAGCCGGCTCGAACATACCACAATAGCTTGTTGCCGCCGCTTGACCTGATAACCTAAGAACGGTGCTGATTGTCATTTATGTCTTATTTGATGGCTGTGTACATATGCCAAGATGCCGAGCGTTTCAGGGGGATGGGTATAACCCAATGAATTTCTGTTGTTATTCAGCTGAGGAGGTCAGTGCAGTGGTCGCGCGACTTGGGTGATTCTCACCCTGATTCTCACCCCGTTTATAGCGCACTCACCCTTCTCACCCCCGGTCGCGCGACGCTAAAGCGGCTCTCACCTTAAACTCACCTGGGCGACACCCACCCGACTACTGGCCGCACATAAGCCACACGCCGGTGAGTTAGTAGTTGGGCGGATGACCACCAGCGAATCCTCGCTGTTGTATGTTTTTGTCTTCTATTTTGATTCATTCGGAAAGTCCCTCTTGCCGCCGTACTCTTCAGTCCTTCAGCCCATTCAGCCCATTCACCTGAATGCACTGAACACCACTATTCTACACGCCCCTGAAACGCTGACGTGTCCTTCCCCTCCTGTGCTGACTGTTTCCTCTCAGGTACGTTGTCTTAGTTACAATACTCTAGTCCGGTCTTAGCTATGTCTTTTTCAGGACCCCTTTAGGCTTGGTACTGTAAATGCTGCACACTACGCTACGTAGTGCGCGAGTGGCTGCGTTATGGACATGTGATATCATGGAAGCCCTTCTGGCGAGGATCGGTATGGGCTGAGATGTAGCCTCCCGAGCGAGATAGAGCGAATAGCTGCAATCAGCGGCAGATATTGGAAAAAGTAGAAGCTCTATGTATATAGAGATTCCCAGTAGCTGCCGAGGGAGGGGCAGTGATCAGTTCTCCAATTAATCTAGACGCATTGTGCTTGGCACAGCCACTATTCCAAAGGGCGCGAAAGATGGACTTCTTGAGTAGCCCCATTACTTTTCCTTTATCACTGCTCGGGATAGGAGATGGTGGGCACGACATATTTTCCGCGGTCTTATGTCGTATATCTGCATTTTCCCGAGTCGTCCGACAACTAATACGCTCTATAAAAGCCGTCGCTAGTAGTATTATCACGTTCCGTAAAAATACGCTGCTATTTTGATAGCAGGTAATACTTATGACTGCTCTATCTGCAGATAAGGCTCTCTCTCAATTACGAACTTTCAGCGACATGTGGGTCAATATCAGGAAGACTTTGCGCTCTTTTTGCTCCTACCGCTAGGCTCGGATGAAGAAGAAGATGAGGATATAGCTAACTAATAGAAGAAAAGGTAGTGTAGAGAACCAGAGATATTGATATTTAAACCAGACATTACCAGTCCCTATATAGGAGTTTGCCCGCTAGCGAGAATATAAAAATTACAAAATAAACTAACCGGAACATAGCAAATCCATCGACAGTATCAATGAGCACTCGAAACAAAGCTAGCTACTCCCTGACCTTCTTCAAAGCTTCTATGAACGCGCGCTGTCTCTTGATTCCACCGTCGTTATGGGAGACTCGATGGCCTTGCCATGCACGGAAGATAAACCGGCACCAGGTCTTCTTCTTCGCAGCCATCACGTTAATATGGTTTTGAATGGCTTCCCAGGACCCCAATGTCTCAACCAATGCAAGCATGAGGTACTGTGAAGGTTGACCCCACTGTAGCTTAATACCAATTGGAGTGGTATTGATATTTTGGGCGAGTAACATGTCCCATGTCTTACTCCTTAGCTGGCGGTCGGTGGATCCTTTGCGTGCCAGGATGATTTTTGTATCAATCTCAAAGATTGATGGGTAGTCGATGTTTGCCTGCTGCCTAAGGTATTCAGCTTCATACATCGCGCCTAGTCGATAGGCCGTGTTTTCTGTAAGGTCGAGTAGCTTTTCCTTTGTAAAGCTTTCACCATTTAGAGCTTGCCGGAGACATGAATGTAAAGCAATATTTTGGCCGGAGTTGTCGGGACCCGGCTGCGCTGCAAAGTACTCTTCAGCAAGGTACTGCAAGCGCTTAAGAGGGCGTCTGTCTGCGCCGGGTAATCCTTGGTTCGTTGGAACGGGGGTAGATGATGGCGGCACATATCGAAGAGCTTGCCACTTTTCCTTGTAGCTCATCAATGGGAGTCCAAGGCGGGGTTGGTAGCTCAACTCCCACTCATCATTCTCAGCCGAAAAAAAGAGTTCTTGGCGGTCGCCAAGCATTCCCATGTCTTTGACACAGTCATATACAGACTTTGCCAGCTGGACGTACGTCGGGTGGGCCATTGTTTCCCCAATGTCCAATGGATTCTCAGTGCCTGTTTGGGCTTCATCAGTCTGCGCCTTAATCAGGCATTGTACAACTGCGGATGTCGCTAAGCTGCCGCTTGCACGCCCAACACTTCCACTCAGGGGCCATGAAGAAGATTCTGTATCTTTCCCTGCTGCTGTAATACCAGTCACATTCAACTGTTGTTGCCTGAGGTCTGGCTTAACAAGCCACCCCCCCCCCCC